ACCCATCCATCCATCCATCCATCCATCCATCCATCCATCCATCCATCCATCCATCCATCCATCCATCCATCCATCCATCCATCCATCCATCCATCCATCCATCCATCCATCCATCCATCCATCATCATATTTACCTGTTTCTTCGACCTGAAAAGGTTGCAGGGGTCACTGGTGCCCATGTCCAACAGTCACTGTGTGAGAAGTGGGGACACCTAGACAGGTCTCCAGTCCATCACAGGGCCACATAGAGACAAATGAGACAAACAACCATTCACTCACTCACTCTCACCTAGGAACAATGTAGATACCAATCAGTCTAACGTGCATGTTTTTGGTCTGTGGGAGGAAACTGGAGTACTTGGAGAAAACCTATGCAGCATGGAGACAACATGCAAACTCCACCCAGAAAGGTCCCTGGTCAGGATTTGAACCAGAGCAACCAGTTCGCTAAGGGGCGGCTACTCTACCAACTGCGCCACCGTGCTGCCGTGACCTGTTGCCAGTTAACCCAATTAGTGACAAACATGTGCTGGTAATGGTTAAGTTTAGGGTAAATGGAAGTCCTTATGAGGATAGAAACACAAACTTGTGTGTAAAAAGAGTTGTGTTGATCTGTTGGAGTCGGTTTCGTCCACCTGATGTGTCACGTTTATTCCTGATGACCTGGAACACCCCAGGTGTTACCAAGTTAAAGCTCAGAAAACTGAGCAGATCTGTTACATGACTCGTGTAGACGGAGCAAACAGATAAAAGCTAAACTGAACCGGAACACAAGAGGACGGTTAAAGTCTGGCAGCTTTTTGTGTCGTGTTGGAACCAGTAAACAAATAAATTCAGAGTCCGTAGAAGGTCCGGAGTCGTCCGCTCAAAGGCTCCATGATGATTAAGGTATTGTCTTTCCTTCAGACATCCTGCTCAGATCATCAAATTCTCTGCCGGCCTGTTAAACAAACACTGAGTGTCCTAACCTGACCGCCTGGTGGACAAGTCTTGATTTCATAACGTGTCTTGAGACGACTTCACATCAAGAAGGTCCGGTGTGTGCAGGTGTAAAGTGGCAGAGAGGGGACATAAACGTGTTGCCATTACTGAGCCGTTAGTTCCCTCCCAGCTTCTTTAGAAGCAGAGAGAACATGACAGCAGGCCAGATGATCGTTTCTTTACCGTGAGGACGAGGGGTGAGGCAGGAGCTGAAACAGGAAGTGCAACAGATGTAGCAGAAAGAGAGAAGATGAGACCACGCATGAAAAAACACATTCAAGTTTAGTGTCGAGTCCAAAAGAAACTGAATGTGTGTATTCAACTGAGGGAACCAGATCCAGGTCTTTTTTTCTACAAATCAGACTCAAAGTGACCTCCGTCTGAACGGTCGTGTTATTTCATCTCACTTTCACATCATGGAAGGAAAAGGCTCAGATATTTATTGTTTTGATGCCAGCTGTACAAATGGTCTCCATACGAACATGATGGGATCGATACTTGTGTTTGTTTCTACTTTCACTGCATTGCTCCCATTCCAGAAGATCAGTTGTGCACCAGAGCACACAGGAAGCACCCAGATCAGATGTAAACAGGACAAACAGGCGGGGCAGATAATAACCCAGATGGCTCTCCGTGCACAACGATCAGTACACACGTTAACCTATGCAGCATCCATATTGACTTTAGTGAAGACGGCGCGCTGAGCGTGACATCACGTCCTCTGCGAGTCGCCTGAAGGCCACACAGGGTTCACAATGGAGTCAGACGTGCACGGTGAAGATCACTTTAACTGTGACACAAGAAAAACTGGGACTGAAAGTGACTCCATGAAAATACATTTCAATGTTCAGAAGAAGCTGGTGAGTTATAAAAACATTTAGTTCTTGACAGGAGAAGATGTCGCTCTCAAGAGAACTCTTATTGCATCATCAGATAAGAATCCATGACTCTTTTAGAAGAGGAGCACGAGAGAAGAACCGGATCAGAACAAGGGAAGAACCGGATCAGAACAAGGGAAGAACCAGATCAGAACAAGAGAAGAACCGGATCAGAACAAGGGGGGTGGATTAATTCATGATCATTTAGGGGGAGGGTGTCAATCAAGGTCATTTTTTTTGGGGGGGGGGGGTGGTGTCGTTCACAGTTATTTGGGGCTGTTGGTGATGCAGACAGGTGTTTAGATGTTCCTGGATGATGAGGGGTTAGCCGCCTGCTGTACATGGTTTAGGTGGGGGGGGGGGGGAGGGGTGTTCGGCTGGTGTGGAGCTGATCCAGAGGATCCAGCCAAGTCAGTCCCTGGGGTGATGGATAGCATCACAAGCTCAGACCCAAGGGAGGGGTCTAACTAGTTGGGCGAGCCAAATGAACTCTTCTCATCTTAATTGCAGACTTCTATTTTAGTTGGGGGAGGATCGGGGGGGGGGGGGGGGTGTTGTGATTTAACTTGGGAGGGCAGCTCTCTGAATACATTAACCTGAGTTTTGGTCGCAGTGGCTCCAGAGAAGGGTGTTCACATGGTGCTGTGGTGGTACTGGATCATAATCTGTCCTATGTACTTGGTGTTGGGGCGGCTGTGGCTGAGTGGTTAGAGCAGTCGTCCTCCAACCAAGAGCTGGGGGTTTGATTCCACCAGCAGTCACAT